ACACACACACACACACAGACAGACCACATAAACCTGTCTTCATGATTAGTCATCCTTCCTCTGGCACACAACAGGGGTTACAGGAAGGAAACTCATGTTACACAATGATGAAAACTATAGCACACACACACACGCGCATGGACACGTACCTTGCTGTCCTGTGGTGTATTGAGGATGTGCACAGCACTGGGCTTGACACCGTTGGCCTTGGCCCTTCGGTACAGAGCAAAGCGGCTCTTTCTGCGCCCACGGTCTCCGTTTGGAAGGGAGCCATTGTAGCTGGAGGAAGATAAACAAACACAAGAACATGATGAAAAACATCTACTGAAACAAACAAATGATGTTTAAGTAATCTAATTTGGGCTGGAATACAAGTCAGGCGACATCTAGCTTTATTGAGAAAGCCTAATTGTGTTAAAAACACAGTTATCTTGTTTGCATACTTATCATAAGTCATCACTTAAATGACACTGAAGCTGCCAAGATGTCAGGAAAATAACGGCAATTAAAGTGCAAGCTCAATTAATTATGTGCATCTTTACAGCAACACCGCTGCTCGCTCGTTTGAAATGAATTAGAGCAGCACATTCAGGCCACTCGTGATTCATGTTAAACTGCTGAACCTCAATGAGAAAGACAACCTGCACTTGATCTGACTCACTCGGCTTGTCCTTAAGGCCCACGTTCACTAAAGAAGAGCTCGCTCTTCATCTAACCTCTTACAATATAAAGCATCTTCAGCAAGACAGATTCATTTTCATCACACCATTGCCCAATTACATTAACCATAAAGAGTTGAGTAAGTGGTCTGGAGAGGATACTGAATAATACTTTGAAGCTTTGTGTTCATTAATAGCAGGCAGATATGATAGGTTCTTCTTACGAGGGTGGTAAATAACATAGTCCAGCCCATTACTGTTTTATAACTCAATATAAGGCTTTTAAATGAAAATCCTTCTAACACCTTAACTAAGATATTGAATTTGTCCTCAATGTTTTCTGTAGCCGGGTCAATGTAATTTCTTTCACAGCTTGAGTTCACAAAAAAGGCAGTATGTAAGGCTTGTGACTAATGAGCAGGACATGTTTCTTATTAAAAGCATTTAGAGGAAGTCCTGCAGGCAAGACTCACAATTTTGACAATAACCATCTTCACTGCTCCCCACAGTTGATGAGATGAAAAGCCATCTGGTCTGGTTTTCTTCTGACCTTTGGTCTTGCATTGAGTACAAAAGGAAACACTGCCTACCTTTTGAGTGTCAGTAAAGTGTAGCTCTGACACTGCGATGAATTTACAAAAGGAATGAAGAAAGATGATTTAAGTGACTCTGCAAGTGGCATGTGCTAGACGGGTGGTCTGAGTATTTCAGAAACTGTTGATCTGCTTGGATGTTCCCACACAGCCATATCTTCAGTTAGTTTAACTGAGAGTGGTCTGAAAAAGGGAAATATCTGATGAGGGGCAGTTCTCTGGGATGAACAATGCCTTGTTGATACCACTCACAGGAGTGTGGCATAAATGTATTCAGACTGATTCGGTAACAGTAATTCAAATAAGCACTCAATACAACCAAGGTATGCAGAAGAGCATCTCTGAATGCACAACATATTAAACTTGAAGCAGTTGGAAGACCACATTAGGTGCCACTCCTGTGAGCTAAAGCTTTATTTAGACCTCTGCTGGAAATGTATGTCCTAACTTACGTAATAATTGGAAACTCATTTCACCCCTACACCACAACCTTTCACGCCATTTAAGTCTTTTGTATCCGTCGACCCAATGTGTAGGCACATTTCTCAGAGGTGCACATCAGGTCGGTGCGTAGGGTTATAACAAGGTTCCAGTTATGGCGTAAGTTACAACATAAATCTGACGTATAAGTATGATTAACATGTAAGAATGGAAAACTGAGTCTATAATGTCCACAAGCTCACTGAAAGTGGAAAACAGAGTGGAGTCTCAATTCTACAGCGACATTTAGATGATAGGGTCAGAATCTGCCATTAACATGTTGGTAATGGATCCATCCTGCCTTGTATCAATGGTTCAGGTTGGCGGTGGTATAATGATGTGAGGGATACGTTCTTGACCAATCAGTATCCCTGTTAAAATGCCACAATGTACCAGAATATTGCAGCTAACCATGTCCATCCCTTTATAATACAGTGTACCTATTTTCTGATGGGATAACACAAACCATGCTAGAAAGGTAAAATCATCTCAAACTGCTTCCTTGAACTCGGAATGCACCGATCCAATATTAAGATCAGATATTAGTCTGACAGCCCCCCCCCCTAAAAAAACAAAACAAACAAACAAAAAAACTGGTCTGGTTACTCGTCTGGATATTGGTTATACTGAACTGATCTGTGGTTTGAGACATTCATTTCAGTTCACTATGGTTCTGTGTTTACTTCCTCACTAGACAGCAGCAGCTAGCAGCAGAGCTAACGTAGCATGGAGGGAGCAAACACCAGAATGTCAGCAGTTTGGAGGCATTGCAACAGCTTCAGTGTCTATATTTGCAAAGTTGTTGTGTTGTTTTTTTTTTTGCTGCAAACTGAGCTCAAGGTGACATGACTGACAACACCTGACAATGAAGATGCTTTCTGTCTCTTCCTTCACTAGTTTACTTTCACTCTCATTATATTCTGTCACAGACCATATCTAAGAAGCTAGAAGGACACTGGTTTAGTGTTACACTTGTTGGTGACATCTTCTGACAGCTCACAGCTGTGTGTGAGGATGAAAAGGGAAAACTGTTAATAACAGCAGTTTCCAGCAACCTAATGACGCTCACTTAAATCACTCTAATATCACTTTGACATGAGCTCTCTGACAATAAATTAGATGAACAACTTTAGCATATTTTTCATAGTTTTTCACTGCATTTAACCCAGGCTTATTTTTATTTATTATTTTACTATTTAATACTAACATTTCAATAAATTTGTATTCATGAAAAAATGTAAACTGTCTTTGATGGTTCAATCTGTGAGCTTGTCTAAGAGCAAGTTGATATTGTGCATTTCAATTCCATGAATCTCAGAACATACATTTTCTGTGGTTGACAATCCTCAGGATAGAGCGGGGAAGGAAGCTGGGATGATGATGCTGAACAGATCAAGTATGTCACCTGGAAATACTACAAACAGGGCACATTCAACTTTGATTTTTTTTTAATGTGAAATCCAATTAAAGAGCATGACTCAATGCAAACCTGTACCCTTCCTGGCCTGCTCTGACAGTTCAAACTAAACTGTGACTAACAAGGAAAAGACTGGTGCAGGAATCACGGACACGCAAACACAGAGCTTTCAGGGCTTTGGCCAAAAGTCAGAGCACATAAAATAGGGCAAAGGATAAGAGGCTGCAGGAGATAGAGAAAAGGGTAGCAGGTTGGTCGAAATGGAGGCAGAAAAACAGTCAGAAGCTATCACAAGTTTTAGAGAAATAAGTGAATAAAATGAAGGATGGGAGATGGAGAACAGGGACTGAAAGATCACGCAAAGCAGAGGTTTGAGGGGGAAAGGCCAGAGGGAGAGCAGCTCTTTAAGATTCGTTTGTGGGCAGTTCAGGCCTGCATCACAAATGTGCACACATCATAAGACACTATATGAAATATTCACTCCTTCTGCCCCCCAACACGGGGTTTATTTTCGTTGAGGGCAAGTCACCAAGGAGGCCTGCCTCTGTGAAAGTCAGCACTCAGCAAAACACTGAATGGTCGGCTAGAGAAGGGACTGGGTGAGAGTCTGTCTCTCACCCAGTCCCTTCTCTAGCCGAACGAGACAGAGACCATATTGAGATAAGTTATGGAGGAGAATAGAAAGGTGTGAGAAGACAAGAGGGTGTTCGCATAGCGAATAGAAGGGGTTGCTGGACAGGGCAGCACGGTACATGGTGTCCAGAATAACTAAGGTGACGAGAGATAGCAGGCAAGCAGCCTCTGCAAAGATCACATGGCCAGCAGTGAAGTAGACATTGACCACAAGGGGCATGGGATCATCAAAGCTGACAGATGCAAAGCCAAACCACAGCTGCATAAAACATGGCCAGAAAATTATGAAATCTGATAGGAAGCAGTAAAAGATACAACCTGTTCTTACACTACCTGCCTCCAGGCAAAATTACCTGCTGTATGTTTGAGAGCAATAAATCCCACAAATCCAGATGTAATATACCTGTGATCACCCATATAATAAAACAATTATTCACAATATTATTATACCATGTACTACTACAACCAGGCTGTGGCACTGGAAGATAGTTAATCAGTTTTATCTCTTTATCCTTGTCTGTCAGCTCTTTTTCAAAACCACAGACAGGTTACCAGTCTCACAGGGCACGATCAAAACTGACCCTCAATCACCACAGCTTTGAAAGTGAGGTACTACAAAATGCATTTTTTAGCCATCGAGGAGGCACATTTCGGCACACACTGCAGAGCACACTGGTGTTCAAGTTCCACAGCCAAAAAAAGGAAAAAAAATCTCAAAATAGGCATTCAGTTCTCACATCCTTACTCTGATGTGAGCGTGTAAAGGGCTGCTGTGTTCAAACGGACGTTAATCAGTATTCTAATGCAGGCGGGCTACAGCCTCCTCACTCTGTGTTCAGCTGGAGGGGAAGAGATAGGCCATTAGGTCAGTTATCTTTGGCATACACAGGAAGCTCTGCAGGGCAAAAGGGAGGCCTGTGTAAGGCTGTGTATATACGATTGTGTATGTGTATATGTGTGTTGTAATTTCCTGGTCCTTGCAAACTGTGCATAGAGTGGAGCTGCAGGGCTGGAAATGCTGTGGAAGCTGGTGGCTGTCATCAGCACATCCTGCCCACTCCTGTACTTGTGTGCGCTGGTGATGTAGAAGGGCTTTTCTCCTCCTCCTCCTCCTCCCTCCCTCACTCCCTCCCTCCCGCCCTGGCATGGACGGTCATCTGGCTGAGACGTTTTATTAATTAGTAATACCAAACGAGAGCGCGACTATGACTATGAATATAAGCAAAACGCATTTTTCAAACGACGCTGTTCTCCTCCGTGCTACTTTTAGCGAGCACCGATCCAGCAAAGTATGACATCATTGGGATTTTCAGGTCTGAGCAATCCAGCGCTGCCACTACAACCATTGATGAAAACCCGGCTACATCCGTAGTAGCCTTATGTACTATGGCCAAGGCAGATGTTGCACCTTTACACTTAAGCATGATGGAGAAACTATGCTGGGCTGTAGTTTGAGATAAAATGCCTTAAAAACTTACTTTTTAACATTACTACACAGCTACACCGGTGAAGGAAAACGACGGCAATGTAACATAAAAGAGAAATAAGCTAAAATCCCTTACTACGATTGATTTAATAACCCTAAAACAACCGTAAGCGCGATATATTTTGTAAGAGCAGTGGATTAAAGCTGAACTCGAACGTCATTTGCTGGGTTATTTGTGCTGATGAAACCGCCTCATATTTAAAGGTTAATTTGCCACTGGAGCTGTTCACCAAACGATATAATTTCACTCTAGCTCAAGGTTTTAAAAGACTTACCCCAAAATGACCAATTCGCCGTATTTTACCGGGTCTTTAACGGGCACATCATCATCTCCGTCTTTTTTCGGTGAATTCATCAGACTGGACTGGTCCAGATGGGGCAAAAAAACGCGTCCAATTGCAATAGTGGTGAGATAAAACAATGCTAACACACTCGAAACTGTAGGGAAGTGGTTTTGGTTGTAGTCTACCAAAGTTTGGGCACTGTTGGGCAAAGTTTTTCCAGACTTCTAGGTGTTTTTTTCATTGTTTTAATCCGGTGAAGGAGCATCTTTTCGTGGCTTTAATGCCAGTGTGTAGCTAGTTTGTATCGCGACAAATCTGTTCAGTAGCAGGGGATACAACAACGGCTAACGGTAGGGAGTGGGCTGTACCATAAATTGGGGGAAGAGGATGCCATTCACAGCATATGTCGAAAATTTTGATAAAATTTACGCCCGTTGGGAAAAACGTGCAACTTCTCGATTGAAAATGCTGATAAAAACTTCACGTGCGATTATTAGATAAATAAATACAGTTCAGCATTTAGAATGTAAAAGCGCCGTGAACGTACCCACCCGCGGAACACGAATGGATGCATCCGTGATGTGAAGCTGGCTCCCCCCGATAGAATAAAATGAGCCATTTCGAAATCCACAGGAAGTACCCGCATCCCCCTGCCATACAGAGGGATTCTACTATATTTAAAGTAAAATACTACCTCACTGGATTTTTTTATTTATTTATTGGTATGGTCATAAGTGATGCTGATCTAACGGGCCATTATTCAGTCTGACGTAAGGAGGAGCTCCGGGGGGTGTGGTGGTAGCGCTAAGATGTGGGTCACCACTGCGCCCCAGACTACACCTTCCCCCCCGCTCCCTGGATTTCATGTGGGAGTCGGGAGACGGATATAGGGCGGCTGGAACCCACGCGTGCATCCCTCTCTCGCTCTTTTCTCTCACACTGTAGTAAGGCAGCATGTTGTGACCGCATGAGGGCAGTGCACTTGCTAAGTACAACTTTCCAGCCAGTGAAGTCTGAAAGGTTTTTTTGTGACTAATTTTCCAGTTTAAATATCACTTCTATTTACACGCACTGTCCAGTAATATAAACGAATGAACAGCTAAGCTTAGATATGACACCTCCACCCCACACCAACACATGAAAGCAAAACCTTTGCTGCAGGGTTTTTGAACAGAAGCCAGAGACACACTGATCGGCATCGTTGTCTTCATGTGGAGCAGTCCCCTTTTTCATGCTCTGGCTTACTGGTGTAACATGTAGTAGCTTGCAGATAGGGTTGCAAGGCGAAACGGTATAGCACTCTGCATGACTCTGCAGTGTGTGGCACTGTCGGGCCTCTTTTTACTGGATATATGGGACAGCAGTAAAACATTTGCATGTGTAAATTTACAGATGTTAACCTAATTGCTATGATAATAGTTTCAAAAGGTAACTACTGTGCCCTCAGTAACACATTTGCAGTGCTACAGAGCAGTGATGACACTGTATGTGGGTAATGTCTCATGAATCAGCAAACAGCCACACCCTTATTTCATAATTGACAGCCCACAGCAGTCACAGAGTAACTGATCAACCAGCGTGAGCACTAAGTAATCTTTTGTATACTGGATATCAGAAGGTTAACCTCCAACATACTTTTCCTCTGAGATACAAAGTAGAAACTGGATGGACCAGATGTGCATGCTTCTCTGTGTGTTTGTGTTTGTGCATGTTTCAGTGTGAGTTTCTTCCTTTTCCACTGTGAGATTAAGGTCACACCCTCCTCAGTCTCTCCTGCCATCTCTCCCATATTCCCTGCTTTTTTCCTTCTGCTTCTTTATTTTTGTCTGCCTGTCCTTGTTCGGCTTCAGTTTTTGTACTAATCCTCACTGTTCCTTTTAATTTACATAGTTTATGGCCATAATAATCCACCAGCAGGACAAGGATCCAGTTTTCGCTGTCGGGATAATTTACCTGTCATGTCTAACCAGGAATTTAAGGAATCTTTTGAATGAATACAACCCCACTCCATGTCTGGTAATTGGCTGACTGTGTTTAATGATCATATAGTAATCCCCATCTGAGTGTTTTATCATTTTTACTGACGTCGCTGAACGATTGCAGCAACAGAACAGTAGGAGGGATTCATCTGCGTTTTAAAGGATACCGCAGAACAGATGTTTGTTGTCACGCAGAGAGCTGAAAAGGCACTCTATTAGTAAAGTGTCTCATTCACAGCATCATCCTGCTGCCACAAATAGAAGAGGAAACAGCAGAGGCCATGTTTCCATGACCTCATAGCCCTGTTATATTCGACGAAGACAAACTGAACTCGTTTGACAGATTGGACGTGGCACTTTGATTGGCAGCCACTTTGCATCATCAGTCAAACACATTGCCATGGGCTTAAAACAGTATGCAGTCTTTTATATATTTACAGCTCAGAAAATGTACATTAGAAGTCCATATTACAAAATCGTTTGTGTCATCTACATTGGGGCTATTTATCTGTATCACATGCGTAACAGGGTTA